TGGAAGTAGGGGAAAGCTAAGGGTTCATGTCAAGTAAAACATTAGGCCGAGATACTTTCCAAAAGGATTAAAGTTCAAGTTCTTTGTTTTCAGAATTTTAGTATATATAACCTACTTCAGTCCCCCCCCCCAAAATAAGAATTTAAAACACAAGATTTCGCAGCACTTCTTTTTAGGCAACATATATAATGAAAATAATGTGTAGGATCAAAAAAACAGACTAATGACAAGGGGGCTGGTGCTGTGTTACAGTGGGTTAAAGCCCTGGCCTGCGGCTCCGGCATCCGATATGGGAGCTGGCTTGAGTCCTAGCTGCTCCACTTCTGATCCAGCTCCCTGCTACTGCATGCCTGGGGATGGCCCAAGTCCTTGGGCCCCTGCACCCACATGGGAGACCTGGAAGAAGTTCCTGGCTCCAGGCTTCAGATATGTTCAGCTCTGGTATGCAACTCTGGCCACTGAGGCCATTTGGGGAGTGAACCAGTGGATAGAAGACATTCTCATTCATTCATTCATTCATTCATTCTCTCCCCAGCCCCACCAGAACTCTTTCAAATAAATATATCTTTTAAAAAAGAGATTAATGACAAGAATTCTGGGTTTGGCCTATATTTTCATAAAGAATATTTGTTATTTGTGTGTCAAAATCTATAAAATATCTGTAGTCATTATTTTTCAAGAAGTTATTCTCATTCCTGAGTATAATATACATACATAGGTAAGAGACAATGTATCTTATTGATTTTTCGATACTGTTCTCAAAATCAGTGCTGTAATTTTAATGTGTCCTGTAAATTTCATGTGTTGTTCAAAACCTAACCCCAAAATCCTATGCTAATGGTATTTAAGAGGGGGAACATTAGGGAGATGACTGGGTCATGAGAGTTCTGCTCCCTCTATTCATGAATTAATGGATTCATGAGTTAACAAGGAAATGGCTTTGTTATTAAAGTGTGCTTTATCTAACATGATTGCTCTGCTCACCATGTGACACCTCTACAATGTTCCAATACAGGAGGAAGCAATTAGCAGTAGCCAGCACAACACTCTTAGGTGCTCTTAGGTTTCCAACCTTCAGAACTGGGACTCAAAATTGCTATTCTTTATAAATTACCTGGTCTGTAGTACTTTGTTACAACAGCTCTATAACTAACACAGTTAAAGAGTATACATTAGTACATTTTTTAAGCCCCTACTGTAATGCACAGGCAGAGTACAGAAGACATTATATAAAAAGTTACAGAGGAATTTTGAACAAATAATGTATTATTCAAAATACTTAAAAGTTGCAAACAGTATGAAAACAAGAGCAATGAGAAATGCATAGAGCAGATAGCTATGAAGCAGAGAAGATCATTACCAGGAACAAAAGTGGATTTTCTGCAGAGCAAAGTCAGTTAGGAGATATATTTTAAAATAAAGCCAAAGTCTGAAGTTGCGTAAGACAGCTCAATACTTTTGCCTGGGCCCAATACACCACGATGGTGCAATTCTGCAATTCATGCCAGTTTGTCCAACCTAACTGCTATTACAATATTTTCTTAAATCAATTGACTCAGAAACAGCTGCAAAGCAAATCTTACCATTCAATAACTAAACACTGTCTGGAAAAATTCTGCTTTTGCAATATTAGACAGACAGGATTGAGAAAATATTCACAAACAATGAGTGTTTTAACCTTCAAACCTATGAACACCAGACCAACAGGAAGCAGATAAGGAAAGAACTTGCATCATAGTCCACAACTTTCCTTTTGTCCATCCTATATCTCTCGTGTCATTACCATAAGTGTGGCTTCAAAGAATTTTTCACAAGATACCCCAAAGGTATATAAACTAAATAAAGAAAAGCATTTGTTACAGCAAAAGAAATTTGAATACAAGAATCCTGAAGACATAACTCCAAATGTTTCTGCTCCTTACTTACTACTTTACACAAAAATCATCTGTCATTAACATCATGCTTTGCTGAAAAACATATAGCACAGTGGTTAAATATAAATTTGAAGTCAGATCTAAATTTCAAGAAGTTCCAAACACAAGAAAGATATGGAAACACTTCTGTTCCAAGCATTTTGGATAAGATACTCATAAAACTTTAATGAAATAAGCAATTTCAAAAGTATACGTAGTTGGTAGAAACTTAATTTACTGAAAATATCCTGGAATTATATTAGGCAATTAGAATCCAAAACTTTGGGGCCAGCGCTGTGGCGCTGCGGGTTAACGCCCAGGCCTGAAGCACCAGCATCCCAAATGGGTAACGGTTTGAGGCCCAGCTGCTCCACTTCTGATCCAGCTCTCTGCTATGGCCTCAGAAAGCAGTAGATGATGGCCTAAGTCTTTGGGCACCTGTATCCATGTGGGAGACCTGGAGGAAACTCCTGGCTTTTGGCTTCGTATCAGCGCAGTTTTGGCCGTTGCAGCCAAGTGGGGTGTGAACCAGCGAATGGAAGACCTCTCTCTCTTTCTGCCTCTCCTCTCTCTGTGTAACTCTTTCAAATAAATAAATAAATCTTTAAAAAAAAATCCAAAACCTTAAGAGGATGCACATAATTTGAGTCAGAAATTCAATTATGAATTCAATTTCTACTAGGAAAGTAATAGATTAAATATGAAATATGTATGAACAAGAATGTTCTCTACTGTAATATTCATAATGACAAACTACCGCAAAATTCTTAAATGTACGTTAGTATAGGACTAGTTGGTAAAATTATTACGCTACAAACACACTATTAAATACTAGGCAAACCTAAAAAAGAATGATGAACAGCCACGTTGTGTTAGAAAAAGATTCATGATATGCCAAGTGAAAATGTAGACTACAAAATAGTAGGTATAAAATAATTTCATTTACACTAGAAAAAAAATTTAACCACAAAATTAAAAGAGATACTTTGGAATAATTTACCTTAAAGTGCAAAACAAGTATTATCTTCAAGTGACTGGATTGAAGATTATTACATGTTGAGTATTCCTTATCCAAAGTGTTTAGGAGCAGAAATGTTTCAGATTTTTGAATATTTACACAGATCAAGCACACCCAATCATAAAATATGAAATACAAATGCTCCGAACTCCAAAAATTTTTGGCCATCAAATCACCACTCAAAAATTTCTGGATTTTGGAACATTTAAGACATCAGATTAGGAATGCTCAACTTGTAACATTTTCTTCTTTGTAATTTTTATGTTCTTATTTTATTATAATGAGCACTACTACTTTTATAGTTTGACAGGAAAAGCTTTTTATGTTTCAAATCTAAAAACATAACATTACTACATCTATACAAGGTACACAAATGATCAAGAGTAACTTATAGGAGTACACATTTGGCAAAGCAAATAAGATGCCACTTGAACACCTCTATCCAGATCACAATGCTTGAGATTCAAGACCCATCCAGCTCAGTCTCCTGACTTTCTGGTAATGTACACCCTGCAGGGCAGCAGGCAATGACTCAAGCAATTAAATCCTACCATTCATTTGGGAAACCCAGACTGAGTTTTCAGCTCCTGGCTTCAACCTAGTTGGCACTAGCTTTGGTGAGCATTGGGAGAGTGAACCAGCAGATGGAAGATCTCCCTGACTTCCACCCTTCATCTTCCCTTCATCCTTGCTATTTAAATAAATAGTTTTCATTAGTTATTTATAGGGGACCAGTGTTGTGACATAGTTGGTTAAGCCATCAACTGCAATGCTGGCCAGTTTGATTCCCAGCAGCTCCACTTGAACTCCAGCTCCATGCTAATATACCTGGGAAAGCAGCAAAAGACAGCCCAAGAACTTGGGTGCTGTACACATGTGGGAGACCCAGATGAAGCTCCTGGCTCCTCACTTCACCCTAGCACAGCCCTGGCGATTGCAGCAATTTGGCAAAAGAACCTAAGGATGGAAGATCTTTCTCTCTATCCCTCCTTTTCTCTGTAACTCTGCCTTTCAAATAAATATATAAATCTTTTTATAAAAAATTTATTTTTTTAAAGATTTATTTATTTATTTTGAAAGGCAGAGTTACTGAGAGGCAGAGGCAGAGAGAAAAATAGAGGGGTCATCCATCCACTGGTTCACTCCCCAGTTGGCCACCAATGGACGGACCTGTGCCAATCCGAAAGCAGGAGCCAGGAACTTCTTCCAGGTCTCCCATATGCATGCAGGAGCCCAAGCACGTGGGCCATTTTCCACTGCTTTCCCAGGCCATAACAGACAGCTGGATCAGAAGTGGAACAGCCAAGACTTGAAATGGCACCCGTATGGGATGCCAGCACTGCAGGCAGCAGCCCCACACACTATGCCACAGCAACGGCCCCAAAAACAAGTTATTTATATAAATCCATGTAATATACTCATATGTAAATATGTACTTATATCCAATCTCACTTCTACAAGTACATATCTGAAATTTTGACTTTTGAATATTAACATTTAAAAATTGCAGCAGTGAGGAATATCTGTGTCATCCTAATACAACCACTAAAGCTCCAATACCATTATACAATGCAGTTTTAGTTGAGTGCTATACTATACTTTGCCTTTTGAATTATTACTAAAACAGAAAAAAAAATCACAACTACCTCTAATAAACTGCCTGAAATTTATGATAAAAACCACAGCAGAATGCCAATTCTTTAACAGGTGTAGAAAGAAATAATAATTTGTAAAAGTCCAAGAAAAGAATAACCAGAGTTATTCAGACAAGTCTGACTTTTCTTTCCTTCCAGGCATGTCCACCAAAGTACCACATGTGAAGATACACCATAACATAGAGAAAGGTAAGAGAATAACTTTAGAAATCATCTAAATGTTCTTAGTATTCATAGTAATTTAATATTAAACTAAAGATAAACTTCATATTAAAGACATGAAATTTGGATTTGCTCATTTAGATTAGATTTACAGAGAGTCTGTGGTATGCAGAATCATCTATAATGAATGTTAAAGATATTCAAAAATTCATAAATTTTGATTACTTATTAGAGAAAGAAAAAAGTACTTACCAGTAAGTCCCAATTATTTTGTTCAAGCAATGTAATAGCTTCATCAATGTTTTCAATGCCAGTACATGCCTAGAAACCAAGTACAAAAGCATTTATATATAATTTTTGAAATGAGGTTATACTTAAAAATGTAAATGGCATAATATGTAATTTAAGTTCAGATAGGTATGTGAACCTATTTAAGACACTAAAAGCCTAACACACCTGTGAGCATTTTACACATATATTTTTAACTGTTAATTATACAATAAATTTCCATTACTAGAAATAAAAATAAAGCAATAAAATCATGTTTGAATAGATCTCTAATAAACAAGAACAATTTTTATTAAATTTCTAAGACATATATAAACAAATTTTAACTCAAACCTCGTACTTTATATAAAAGTTAACTTAAAAGTAGCTGATAAATTTAAAGTAAAGTCAAAACCTATAAAACTTCTAGATATATGCTAATACAGGAACCAATAGATACACGTGGTTAACAAGTCTACTGAGTTAAGATGTGCCACAAATGTAAAATAAACAATACGTAGAATCTAGTACAACATTTAAATGTGAACTATTTCATTAATAATTTTTATCCTGAATACACATTCAAATAATTTTTGACATATTGGCTTAAACAAAGCATAATATTAAAATTAATAATGCTCACTGCCTTATTGTTTTAGCATTGAAAAATTTCAAATTACCTGTGACTTTTATTATATTTGTAGTATTGTTATAGAAAAAAACATAGAAGGGGATGGACAGCATTTGGCACAGTTAAGCCACTGCTTATATGTCAGCATCCCATATCCAAAGGGATATTAAACCAGTTCAAGTCCCAGATGCTCCATTTCCAAGAAAGCAGTGGAAGATGGCCCAAATACTTGAGCCCTGCCACCCATGTGGGAGACCCAGATGGATTTCCTGGCTACTGGCTTTGGCCTAGCCCAGACCTCGCTGTTGTGGCCATTTGGAGAGTGAGCCAGCAGACTGAAGGTATGACTCCCTCCCTCACTATTTCTCCCTATTTGATGCTCTGCCTTCCTAATAAATAAATATTCAAAACAGAAAAAAAACAGGATATATTTTTGACCAGATTAGGCAAACAATAAACATGACAGCAAAAAGCACATTTCAAATAACTGATAAAATAGACTTCATTTAAAATTAGACCACTGCTCTTTTAAAGACACTATCAAAAGAACAAAATGCCAACTCATAGACTAAGAGTAAATGTCTGCAAAACATGTCAAACAGAAGATTTATAAACAGAACATAAGAATTTACAAAACTCAATTTTTTCAAGATTTATTTATTTATTGGAATACAGAGAGAAGGAAAGAGAGAGAGAGACCTTCCATTTGCTGGTTCACTGCCCAGATGGACGCAACAACCATGGCTAGGCCAGGCTGAAGTCAGGAGCCAGGAGCTTCTTCTGGGTCTCCCACGTGGGTAAGGGGCCCGAGCACTTGGGCCATCTTCCACTACTTTCTTTTTTATTTTTTTGACAGGCAGAGTGGACAGTGAGAGAGAGAGACAGAGAGAAAGGTCTTCCTTTTGCCGTTGGTTCACCCTCCAATGGCTGCCGCGGCCGGTGCGCTGCGGCCGGCGCACCGCGCTGATCCAATGGCAGGAGCCAGGTACTTCTCCTGGTCTCCCATGGGGTGCAGGGCCCAAGGACTTGGGCCATCCTCCACTGCACTCCCTGGCCACAGCAGAGAGCTGGCCTGGAAGAGGGGCAACCGGGACAAAATCCGCGCCCCCACCGGGACTAGAACCCGGTGTGCTGGCACCGCAAGGCGGAGGATTAGCCTAGTGAGCCGCGGCACTGGCTTCCACTACTTTCTCAAGCACATTAGCAGGGAGCTGGATCACGAGTAGAACAGCCAGGATTTGAATTGGCACCCATATGGGATGCCCGCACTGCAGGCAGCAGCTTTCCCCTTACACCACAGTGTTGGCCCCCAACATCATTACTCTTTAGGGAAATGCAAACAAACACAGAGAGATACCATTTCCAAACATTAGAATCACTGTATCTCCACTGTCTAAAGACCCAGAAGTCTAAAATCTACAAAATAACAACCTTGAAAGAGTAAAATCCCAAATGTTAATACCTAAAGCAGAAACCCAGAAAACCTCAATGCAAACTGAAAAAGGGGCCATATAAAGAGCTAAATTCTGGGGAAGATATTGGTGTACATCATGTTTATATACAGCAAATACTTGGAAACCTGGGAAAACATTACGTTCGTTGTATCTGTGTGGGTATTTCCAGAAGAGATTAATGTGTCAGTCTGGGGAACTAGGGAAGATCAATATTGGCAAACATCACCCAATTGGTCAAGGAGCCCAGAGAGAACCAATCCAGAAGGTAAAATGGCCTCTCTCTCGAAGAGAGATTAACAGTTTTCTTCAGCTGCCTTGAACATCAGAACTCCAGGCTTCCAACCATTTCACTCCAGGACTTCCATCAGCATTTTAGGCTTTTTAAATTTCTTTTTTTCAAACATGACTTCAAAAATACATTACTGGGGCCAGGGTTGTGGAATAGTGGGTTAAGCTGCTAACTGCAAAACCGGCATACCATATGGGCGCTTGTTCATGTCCCAGCTGCTCCACTTCAATCCAGCTCCCTGCAAATGGCCTGGGAAAAGCAGCAGAAGATAGCCAAAGTGCTTGGGCCCCTGCATCCACATGGGAGACCTGGAAGAATCTGCTGGCTCCTGGCTTTGGCCTGGCCCAGCCCTGGCTGCTGTAGCCAATTGGAGAATGAACCAGTGGGTGGAAAATCTCACTTTCTATGTCTCTCCCTCTATCTGTAATTCTGATTTTCAAATAAATAATAAAAAAGAAAAAAAGTAAATGCATTATCACAACATTAACTTTGTTAGGCTGGCACTGTGGCACAGCAGGTAAAGCTGTCGCCTATGATGCCAGCATCCCAAATAGGTACCGGTTCAAGTCCCGGCTGCTGCACTTCCAATATAGCTCTCTACTAATGCCAGGAAAAGCAGCAAAAGACGGCCCAAGTGCTTGGGCCCGCTTGGGAGACCTGGATGACGCTCCTGGCTTTGGCCTGTCCCAAGACTACCCATCGTAGACATCTAGGGAGTCAACCAACACAGAGATCCCTCTCTCCTTCTCTTTCTCTAACTCTTTCAAAATAAATAATCTTTTTAAAAAATTTGACTTTGTTTATAGGCATTGTGTGGTTACATAAAAACATGGAAACGTCCTCAGCAATTGAAGAGATAGCCTTTTTTGTACATCCACATTTGTGAAAGATATAATATCTAAAGATATCCATATGATGCAGTGACTCACTCTGGTTTTTTGATGAAACCCATCAAAAGACTTAGGAAGTCCACCATGGTATTCTCAATAACCAGCAATAAAGCTAGGTGCATTCAATTACCAACCATAGTGATAGCTGTTTATACAGTATACTTATTTCTCTTTTCTTAATTATTTAATTATTTGAAAGGCAGCATTATGGGGGGTGGCGCAAAGAGACAAAGAGATCTTCTATCCACTGGTTCACTCCCCAAATGGCTGCAACAACTGGGGCTGGAGCTGAGCCAGGCTGAAGCCAGGAGCTTCATCTGGGTATCCCAGGTGGGTGGCAGGGTCACAAAGACTTGGGCCATCTTTAAATGCTCTCCCTGACCAATTAGCAGGAAACTAGATAAGAAATGTAGCAGCCGAGACTCAGTCAATCATATGGGATGCCAGTGTCTCAGGCAGTGGCTTACCTAATTATGGCACAACACCAACCCCAAGCTTACCTGTTTCTTTCTGCTCATAATTGTTATACCTATGTGACTGTTATTATACCTGTGTTTTCAAAATATGTATGGAATTACTATTTTATTGTGTAATGTGGCCTATGATGTGTTCTGTCATATGTTAATTTCTCAAACAAATCCTCCTTTAAAATGTAAATATTAGAGTGGGCATTGTGGGAATGGCAGGTAAGCCTGGTATGGGGTGCCTGCATCCCTTATCACAATGGCTGGGATCAAGTCCCACTCTATTTTTGATCCAGCACCCTGCCAATGTACCTAGAAGGCAGCAGTTGACAACTCAGTTATTTGAGTCCCTTTCACCCACATGAGAAACCTGGAAGGGGTTCCTGACTCCTACTTTTAACCTGGCCCAGTTGTAGCAGGCATTTGGGAGTGAATCAACAGATGGAATCAATCACATACACACTCTTTCTCTGCCTTTCAAATAAATAAAAATGAGTAAACATTTTTAAAAACTTAAACAAACAACTTTGTTTTAAGGCAGAACTACAGAGATTGAGAGAGAGAGAGAGATCTTCCATCCTCTGGTTAACTCCCTAAATGGTCAAAAACAGCCAGGTCTGAGCAAGGCTAAACCAAGGAGCCAGGAACGCAAACCTGGTCTCCCACATGGGTGGCAGGGGCCCAAGGACTTGAGCCATCATCTGCTGCCTTACCAGGCCCATTAGCAGGGAGTTGAAACAGAAGCAGAATAGTCAGGACACAAACCAGCACTCTGATAGGAGACGCCAGCATCACAAGTTGCAGTTTAACCCTCTGCACCATAACGTCAGCCCCCAATAAACATCTTTTTAAGGAATTTTTAAATGATTTCTTTCTATATTTTCAAGATTTTGATCTTTCAATATTTTAGACTTTATGGGGCCAAGTGGAATTTCAGGCTCCTGACTCCCCCTTGCCCCGCCCTGTCAATTGCAGTCATTTTGGGAGTGAGTGGATAGAAGATCTCTTTCCCTGTTTCTCCTCCTCTCTCTCTCATTCTGCCTTACAAATAAACAAAAATAAATCTTTAGGGGCCGGCGAAGTGGCGCACTAGGTTAATCCTCCGCCTGCAGTGCCGGCATTCCACATGGGCGCTGGGTGCTAGTCCTGGTTGCTCCTCTTCCAGTCTAGCTCTCTGCTGTGGTCTGGGAAGGCAGTGGAGGATGGCCCAGGTGCTTGGGCCCCTGCACCCACTTGGGAGACCAGGAAGAAGCACCTGGCTCCTGGCTTCGGATCAGCGTAGCTCCAGCCGTGGCGGCCATTTGGTGAGTGAACCAACAAAAGGAA